AAACAAACAAACAAAACTTTCCTATTGTGGGGGGTGGAGGGCAATCCTAGTGTTTGTAGAACTTTGATGTTACAATATAGTACTAAAAGGGCAGCTTTACTTTCAAAGTGCTCAAATATAAATTGATTTGTATTAACACTGCACAGGTATCCCTTGTGTAATGGAGTAATTACTTTCTGGCCAAGATCACTGTATGGTGAAATTCTGTTATGTAAATTCCATTTTCTGTTTTTGTGATACACTGATATATCACCACCAGGTTAAGAAATAGATATGATTTTGGTCACAAGCATGGGGATACTGTTTGCACCAGTGTAAAGAATAATTTGGTGCTTAAAGCCAACCTTGTCTAAGAATCATGCCATGTGCTGTTTCTTGTGCCTCTCACAATCTTAGGCTTCATAGATGACTTTGATTCTATTATTATTTCTAAGGGGAGAAACATAATAATAATTATCAGAGCTTACTGAGTGTCAGACACTATTCTAAGTGCTTTACATATATTTAATTAATTTAATCCTCATGACAACCCTTGAGATAGACAAACTATTAGTATCATCATCACTATTTACAAATATAAAACTCAGGCTAGCCCTAGCTGGTTTTTATCAGTGGAGAGAGCATGGGCCTGTGGACTGAAGAGTCCCAGTTCGATTCTGGTCAAGGGCACATGCCTGGGTTGTGGGCTCATTCCACTGTGGGGTGTACGAGAGGCAGCCATTCAATGATTCTCTCTCATCATTGATGTTTCTATCTCTCTCTCTCTCCCTCCCTTCCTCTCTGAAATCAATAAAAATATATAAAAATAAAATTAAAATCTTAAAATAAAAACAAAAACTCAGGCTAGTAAAAATTAGATAACTCGAATAGGGTCATGTAGACTATAAATGTCTGAGCTAAGATTCAAATCAGTGTCTGTCTGAAACCAAAGCCCACACTCTTGCCCTTCTAAACTATTAGTATCATCATCACTATTTACAAATATAAAACTCAGGCTAGCCCTAGCTGGTTTTTATCAGTGGAGAGAGCATGGGCCTGTGGACTGAAGAGTCCCAGTTCGATTCTGGTCAAGGGCACATGCCTGGGTTGTGGGCTCATTCCACTGTGGGGTGTACGAGAGGCAGCCATTCAATGCTTCTCTCTCATCATTGATGTTTCTATCTCTCTCTCTCTCCCTCCCTTCCTCTCTGAAATCAATAAAAATATATAAAAATAAAATTAAAATCTTAAAATAAAAACAAAAACTCAGGCTAGTAAAAATTAGATAACTCGAATAGGGTCATGTAGACTATAAATGTCTGAGCTAAGATTCAAATCAGTGTCTGTCTGAAACCAAAGCCCACACTCTTGCCCTTCTACCAGGGGTTCCAAACCAAGGTCATCCTCAAAGTCATCAGAGCACAGCCCAGAGACTGATTCAGCAAGTCCTGCACCTCCCCCATCCCTGCTATAATCAGTCTCTTGCCACTTTTACTGGGACAGTCGCTAGGATGGTATATGGGCATGTCTGTGTTTGGGTGGGTGGATACTCTTCTCCCCTAACTCATTTTGTGGTAGTTAGTAGACAGGTACACGGAGTCTAAGAAGCAAGGGAATTAGAATGAATTCCAGTAGCAACTTGGATTAAAATAGCATCCTGTGGAAAGATGTTAAAAATAACTTCACTTGTGATGATTGGATCCTAGGCCTTGAGCCAGACATAATAAAAAGAATATGGCCTTCAGAGATCCAGGCACATAGCCTCAACTTCCCCATGTGGCCCCGTACATGCTACAAGCCTGGGCAGTACCAGTGACCACTAACACTGACTGAGCACCCACCATGTGCCAAGCACTTTGCAGATACAATTTCATTTAATCCTCATACTGTTCCTGCAAGGCAAGTAATAGCAGGAACTCTGTTTTACACATGAGAAAACATAGGATTTGGTGGGTTTAGTAATTTGTCCAAGATCACAAAGCTAGTAAGTACCAAAGCCAGATTTGAACTGGGATCTATTTGATCTGAAAACCAACAAAGTTCTCCTAAATTTATCACCCCATTTCCTCTTCTGTAAAGAAAGAATAGCTAAATCTAACCATGCAGGTTATTATGGGGATTCAGTGAGATACTATGGCAGAAAACAACAGAAAATCTCACGTGCAATAGGTGTTTTATAAGGGTTCCGTTCTTTAAGATTTTGTGAATCAGATTTTGGGAAATGGAACCAAATAATTTCAGAGTGAAGTGCCTAACATTCATCTCAAATAATCTACATATAAAACAATACTGCTGAATAAATTCTGTTCTTAACCCATCTTTATCGACAATTTGCCTCATTATTGGTAACCCACCATAAGTGGTGAAATATCCCACAAGAAAAATTCATGTTATAGGTGAACGGGAAACTGGGGAAAAGTGGAGAACTTAAAAGCATTGATTATGGGCCCAGACTGCCAAGGTTCAAATCCTGCCTCTGTCACTCACTAGCTGTGGAACCTTGGTCAAGTGATTTGACCTTTCTGTACCTCAGTTTCTTCATTTGTAAAATAAGGATTACAATAATAGCAATGCCTGTAAAGCGATGTCTATAAATCCACTTTGTAGCACTCTGCAGAGCTCTGCAAATGTCCAGAGTAAGAAAGGGAAAGTTAGTATATCTCAGACCCTGGAAAACGGGGAATGAGCGAGGTTAGGGAGGAGGCATGACCAACATAGTCAGTTGGTACAAAGATGTCAATTGAAATGAACCTTTCAGAGGATCCTACTGAAAAAACACAGAAAATCTCTTTTTTAACACAGTATTTCCAGGATTCTAAGAGTTATATATTTTTCAGTTATCATAAGTAGAGACTTATGAGAGAAACGTTATATCTTTCAAAAATGTGACATTACTTCTTTAATGTTTGAATCACTGGATACATTAAATATTATATCCCAGATGAACAGGATTCCTAACTGGATTACCAATGAAATATATGAATAAAAATAAAATACATCAGAATTCAACTGCTAACTATAATAATAAGTTATGCTAACAAATTTAAATTATGCCAGGTAAGGTATACAAAATCAGACTAATAGATATTACCTTTTCTGTCAAAAAATTCTATCAGAGCTGCACTCTCTTCAGGAAAACATTCAATACTGACAACTCTTCCCCCTCCAGTTTGAGGATTTTCAAATAAACATTTCAAATCATAGGAGTCAACACCAGGCGGCAGGTTTTCAACCCTGATTATTTTTGTCATTTCCAGAAGTCTTGGGGAAAGCTGAAGTTGTGTCACTGAATGGTGCATGGCACAATCTTCAACAAATTTCATGGCATCTGCAAACCAAAATTTACCAATCAGAAAATTATGATTATATCTTTATATTATACAAAACCCAGTCTGAATTAATAGAGATAAAGAGGGGAGCTAAGCACTCAATTTTTAGGTGCAAGATTTTAATTCCTAAATGTGAATTTCCTTGACTAAAATTCCCAGTCTCTGAACAATGATGCATCTATGAATGTCTTACCACAGAGTTGTGTCCCTACCTCTGCTCAGAGCCCGCTCCAACCTTCCTTGATATAACCACCTGAGTACTCTCTACTACACAAATCTCCTCACTTCATCCCTTTCTCAGGTCTTTCAATGGCTCCCCATTACTGGCAGGCATGAATTCATACTCCTTAGCTAGGTGAAATATGTCCTTTGCTATTTGACTCCAAACTAATTTCTAAATATCACCTCTGGTTATTCCATGCCATTCATTTTATTTTCATACTGCCACAGAAACTAGTCATTTTTTGAAAACCCATTCTACTTTGCCTTTGTTTATATGTTTTCCTGTGCTTGAAATGCCCTCCTCCAATTTTTTATCTTGGTCCTATTCCTCCTTGAGGACTCAACCCAATTATCTCTTTCAAATAAATAAATATTGATGCTGGGCCCACATTGTGTCAGGCACTGTGCTGGGAGCTAGGGAGAGAGAGTGATGAATAGAACAAGTTCTTGAACATTCACCTTCCAGGAGGTAGGAAGTCTTGAAAGCACACAAGTGGTCTATTGTGGTATCAAATGAGGCTGAAGGACTAACATTGGCACTCAGACAAGGATTCCCAGAGTAAGTAGTCACCAATCTGAGTTTTGAAGGATGAAGAAGAGTTTACCAGATAGATAAGGGAGGAAGCATTTCAGGCAGAGGGAACAGCAGTGACATTGAACATAGTATACTGGGGACCTGATAGCCTGGTACTGCAGGAGTCTAAGCTTCATAGAAGGACGGAGGCAGGGCAAAGCCACGCTGCCTTGTTTGGGTCCCCTTTCCTCCCATTCCTCACAGCCTGCTGTTCACAGCCAAGGGAGGCAACTTCTCTTGATCTTCACTGTTCATTTGTGTATTGGTTTCCACCCTGCACCATAGGAGTTCCTCAGAAGCAGGGACCAAGAATTATTCATCTTGGCAACATCAAAATCTCCTATTACTACCACGGCACCTAGACATGTGCACATAGTAGGCACTGAAAATTTTTGCTCAATAAACAAAAGAAAGTGCATCTAGTTCTACCTTTATGAGAAATAATCATAAACTTGAAAGTAGAATAGCTCCCTTATTGAATCCTTACCATGTCCTTACCAGGAACGATGTTAAGAGTTTTTCAAACATTATTTCTTTAATTCTCACATAAACTGAATAAGGCAGGTATTCTTATCCCCATTTTAGAGGTGAAAAAAGCAAAGCACACAGAGCATAGTAACGTGGCCAACCTCAGATAATTAGTTAAATATTGAAGCTAGAATTTTGACTACATGACCTTGCTCTTTTTTTTTTTAATCCTCACCCGAGATATGTTTTTGTTGATTTGAGAGCGAAAGGAAGAGAGTGAGAGAAACATCAATGTGAGAGAATAACATCAACATCGAACCCACCTTTTGGTGCATGGGATAACATTCCAAACAAGTGAGCCACCTGGCCAGGGCATGACCTGTGCTCTTAATTAACCATTCCACTGCTACAGCTATGGAACAGTGAGGACTTGGAATTGGAAAATGTCCCCGTTTTTCTGGATGGCTCTTCCAACTCACAGACTCCTCCCACAGACCTCAAAGAGCACTCATTTTCTGCATCACATGCACTTACTCTCCCTGCATATGTGGATGACCATGAAAATACTGAGAAGATATATGGTAAAGGGGATAACAGAACAGGCTGTATAGAGGTCTGCTGCCAGGGTTCAAATCCAGTTCTTCATTTATTAGCATCTCTGCACCTCTGTCTTCTCAGGTATAAAATGAGAAATAATAACCTTCTCAAAAGGTTGTTGAAAGGAACAAATCAATTAATACAAGTAAAGAGCTTTCCATAGTACCTGACTTACAGTAATTTGATTGTTTGCTAGTATTATAATTATTACTTCAAGTCCAGTTTGGTAACATATATCAATATTTACTTCTCTCAATGAGGTAAAAGGTGTAAACACTGACTCCTGTGTTCAGACTCACTTTAAGATACTTGGGTACCTGCCGAAACCGGTTTGGCTCAGTGGATAGAGCGTCGGCCTGCGGACTGAAAGGTCCCAGGTTCGATTCCGGTCAAGGGCGTGTACCTGGGTTGCGGGCACATCCCCAGTGGGAGATGTGCAGGAGGCAGCTGGTCGATGTTTCTCTCTCATCGATGTTTCTGCAGCTGTGCCAGAGTCCCCTGTGGTGACTCTGAGAGACTGAGCTCCCTGGAAATTCACAATTTGGAGAGGAGTCTGGACTTCCATCGAATGGGCTCTGGGGACTTGGACTTCCATGGAACATAGTAGCTAGGAGCTTTGAGGCCCCCTAATCTGAAACCTCAGTGTGCCAAAGACCTGCCCGAGGGTGTTGACGGAATGCAGGTTCCTATTCAGTCAGTCTGGAGTGAGGCCCTGATGCTGTGGTTCAGACAAGCTCAAGCCCATGGGTGATGGTGATGCTGCGGGGCTGTGGACCACACTCTGAGGCTAGGCTCCAGATCTCAAAGGAATGGAAAATTCCCAAAGGCATCATAGCATCTCCGTTTCAATCTCTCTGTCTATGTCTGCCTGTCTCTGCCCCTTTCTCTCTCTGTCTCTCTCTTACACACACACACACATACACACAAAACTTATATAATAAATTTAATTCATTAATCATGCCATAATTTGGATTCACAACAAAATTGCTTCTCTTTCAAATAAAAAAGGATGTATATTAACTTGGCATCCTCTCTTACCAGCTACTAGCAAGAGTCAAACTTTCAGAGACATTCCATTAGCTGGGTGTCCCAAATCCCAAAAGTGTTGTGCAAAGAAGACTGAACATGAAGGGTCACTTCATCTTACCTATGTATTTTCGAAAGGTAACTACACCAACATCAAAATCTCGTATTACTTCCACTTCAAAATCAGCACTGGACAGGCCACTTATGTTCTCCACCAACAAGGTTAGCATCATGTCAGTCACATTTCCTTTGAGATTTTCAAATGCAACCAAAGAGGGAATATTTTTACATTGCTTTGGGATAACTTCCATTTTTTCTGATCTTTCGTTGAGAGAGATTTGTGTATCTTCTGATGCATCTGATTTTAGGGATACAAAAGAGGTCAAGATGTTATATTTATCTACCATGATTTTAGCAAAGTATTATCATAAGACACTGCCTTCTTTCCTTCCCAACCTCTAGCTAACTAAAATAAAAACAGATCTTAGAAGGCTTTTAGCTTAAATGAATTACAATTATGATGTTCAATTTTATTACACCTTTTTCTACTGGCATATACTTCTATCACAGCACCTTAGTATAATTATTGAAATGAGTTTCCTCAAAGGCAAGGAACATGTTTACACATCCTGGTATTGCTAGCACATGGTATATACTTGAGGCTCAATGAGTATCTGCTGAATTGGAGATTTAGTGCTTGGACCACTAGAGGAAAGCAAGAATATCTGATGATGCCAAACATGAGCATGATCTAACACTTTATGCCCTGAAAAGCAGTACTTCCCATCACTGAAGAGAAAAAAAGATGCTTGCACTGAATGACTAGGGGAAACACAGAGAAAGTAAAATGGCCTAGAGGCTATACGTGTACATCAAACTCAGTGAATAGCAATCACTCCAGCCAGCTTGTTCCTCCCCATTGTTGACAATAAGTGAGTTACACATATGCATAAGGTCAGTCTCACTCTATGCTTAATCCAGTGTAGTGAAGCATGATGGGCACAATAGGACCTTTAGACATTATTTGCGCAACTATTCAGTTGGAGGCCTTGTTATGTTGAAGGTACTGGATGTGTGGAGAGGGGTACATACAAAAAACATTATATAAGGAACTTATTTTTCTAATGGAGATGTTCAAAAAAATGAGAAGAGAAACTGACATTTGTAAATGTTTATTATGGCAGAGTAAAATGTCATGTGCTTATCAAATCCATTTTGTTTTCTTTCTAGGAAATATTACCTAGACTTCCTACAGTTAAATTCCTATAGTAGAGTTCGTGTGGCTAATGGAATATGGGAAGAAGGGGGGAATTCCACTTCCAAGCATGACCAATTCATGTCTCCTTCATATGGATCTCCATTTGCCCTTGCAGTGACCTTGGAGGCTATGTATCAAGGAGGCCTGGATTCCCAAATGACGGCATAAAGCAGTCTAGACTCCACCCACCACCCTAGGGGCCAACTACACTGCACTGTGATCTGGGGAGATGTTTTTTACAGCAGTTACATCACCCCAACAAATACACACACACACACACACACACACACACACACACACACACAAATACACACACACACACAAACACACACGCATGCCAAACCAAAAATAGCTTGAAGATTCAATAGCAACATGAACTAGTATTCAATGCGACAGTATGACAAACCAGAATGAGTACTGGGCTGGATGTGAGGCTCTGAGTTCAACCCCTGACTCTGCCACTCTTTCGCCATGTGACCTTGTGCACATCTCTTTTTTTAAAAATATATTTTTTATTGATTTTTTACAGAGAGGAAGGGAGAGGAATAGAGAGTCAGAAACATCGATGAGAGAGAAACACCGATCAGCTGCCTCCTGCACACCCCACACTGGGGATGTGCCCACAACCAAGGTACATGCCACCGACAAGAATTGAACCTGGGAACCTTCAGTCCGCAGGCCGACGCTCCATCCACTGAGCCAAACCGGTCAGGGCTGTGCACATGTCTTAATTTAAAATTGAGAATATTGGGCTGAGAGACTGATCAGAGCTTTGCTAGCAATATAGTTTTATCACCCCACTATTAGAAGCTTCATCACAAGAGAGGCATTGCCATATAAAGAGCACCAACAATTAAGTCAGGATTCCAGGAAAGAGAGATAAAGGGATTGGCTGGCTTGGGAAGGCTTTAGAGAAGAGGAGGAACCTGAGTAGATTTTGAAGGGTCTATCGGATTTAGGTAGAGACACGTGGGGTAGAGAGTACTGTGAGCAACAGAATACAGGCAGAGTATCGTGTTGTGCCAAACTATTTAAGAAATGGTGATCTGACCACTGAAGCTCAAGGAGCTCTCATGTACAGAGATGTAAGAAATGAGGCCAGAAAAGTCAGCTTCATCCAGAATGGGGTCTGGACTTTATCTTGCAGTTGGTGGTAAGGTGAGCCAGGGAAGGTTTCTGTGAAAAAGATGACCAGATATCCAGCAATACAAAGGACTGGTCAGATTTAAGGAGAAGGACATCAGGTACAGAGAGAACAAGCAAGGTATTCCTGCCATGCTGGATTTGTAAAGTGATAATGGGGGCCTGGGGTGAGGGAGGAATGAATGAGACCAACATATGTGAAAGCTTAAAGAAAAAACAAATTTCTAGTAGGGATCAGCAAACTGGTTATGCACTTGAAGAGAAATAAAAAAGACAGAAGAGGGCACTGGTTTGGAGGCAGATGACACACGTGACTTCAGACATGTTGGTGCTAACATATTTTCTAACAGGAAAATCAGACACACTTCTGGGATTTAGAAGAGAATACAGGCTTGAAATATAGACTTGGAATAAACGGAATTTGCTGACCACAAATGACCAGCATTTCTCTGCTCTTGCTTGTCTCTCTTCTCCTAGTTCTTCCATTTTCTGGTTTCCACATTTGAGGCCCAACCCAGCTCAGCTTGACCTAAAACTGAACATGGGCTTAGTGCTCATACCCCCTGATGTTGGTGTGTGCCTTTCCCTGCTCTGTCACCGCCTGTCAATCTTTAACCTGAAGCTCTGGGTTTCAGGCATGCCTAGTGCCTTCATGGTGCTGTGTCCTCTGCTCTCCTCATCCCTTAGATATGGGACCTACTAGGCAACCACCCTCCATCCTCATTTCCTCACCATTCCAGTGAATTTCTAGAATTCTGACAATGGCCCCAAGAGTCCTGACAATGACCCCAACCTCTCATCCTAGTGCTGTTTTCAAAAAGAGAAAGTTGCAAAAATCTAAACATGTTCTCAAGACAATTTCTACTTTAGAAGAAAATACTTACACATTTTTTGGAATTTTCTTTTCCCTAAGATCTGGATATGTACCACTTTATCTCTCTTGCTCAGCCTTTCAACACATTTCACCATTTATTTCCTTTTATAACACCATGCTTAGCCCAGAAAAGTGTGGCTTCTTTAGTAAATAAATGTCAGGGGCCACAAGCTAAAACCCAGACTCTAGTTAAGCAACAGACTCCACAACAGCCACTAGGTGTCGGGCTCTATCTTACAGCAGATGGAGGAGAAGAGCAGCTGCTGCTGCTCTGGAGGGTTGCACTCCAACCTGCACCCAGCACTCAAGCTTTCATCCACAGAGGACCCACACCTTCCTGTAGTGACTCCTGCGGACAGCACTTCCCATACCCAGTGCTCAGAAACTGACTTGGCCACACACAGCACCCACTGATACGTTATGTACTTGCTTCTTGATGGCCGTTTGGGCACAAGTAGGCTCTAAAGGTCAGTTCATCACCTTCCTCCAGGCATCTCTGAGCCCTCCGCTCAATTGCAAGGTGTCTCCCAGTCCCCACAGAGAGAGCAGTTTCCATCCTCCTGACCTGAGCCTTTAGAGCTCAAGTGGCTGCCCCAGTGTTCACCCTCTGAACAGCTTGCTGAGAGTATAAGGAGGATGGAGCCCAAGGCATCACCAAACTGAGCAAAACCTGCCTTGTGAAGTAAAGAAGATAAGTGCCATCTTTAATCAAAGCAAAACTGCCTTGTGAAGACCAGTCATCTCAATTGAGACCTTACCTGGTTCTTTGGCATGTTCTTTGGCCTTGGATTCCTGAAATTCAAACAATAAAGTAGCATTAATAAATTGCCAATAATGCAAATTTCTTTACATTAAGAAAATGTGCCTGAGACCAGCGTGGAGATAAAGGGTCAACAGACACAATAGTGAAAGACTCCAGCAATAATGTTTTTGAATGCTCCCCATGTGTAATGGCACCTCCAGTTACTCAGAAAAAAAAATCACCGGTAATATGAGTCAAAAATAACAGAAACTCCAATGAATACCAAGTGTCCGGAGCAAGGGGTAAGATCTGCATCTTTTCCCCATTTAACATTTAGTGAGTCTTTGCTATGAACACTGTACCATTTGCTTTACACAGGTTGTCTCAACCAACCCTCACAACAATCCAACAAGGTAGATACTATTACTATACCATTTTAGGGATACTTAGTACATGCAGTATGAAACGCTATCTCCTCAAAACAATGTAAAACTAATACAGCAAGTTCCAGGTTAAGAGCAACCCAAAATTTTATATCTCAAACCTCCCTTATTATAACCCCCAAATCTTTTTCCAAAAGTGTCTAAAAATCAAACAAAAAGTGCCTCCTCCTTCATTATTCCATACCTGTCCCACCACATTTGTAAGTTGCATTTCTCACTGTAGTTTGATTTATATTTTTTGTTCCACTGGGACTAGGTGTTCCTCATTGTGCTTCCCATCCCACACACCTTGGGAGAACAGCCTATTTCCTGGCTACTTGCTCCTTTACTTACCTTTGCTGGAATTTTCTTAGAGGCATCATTGACTTCATTTGTGGCTGGAGGCAACTTGACCGTTAACTTAAATGTTCCTTTTCCTGGACATACTAACTCGTGGTTCCCTCTCTCCAGAACGTTCTGCCAAACTGAAATATCAAAAAAAGAAGAAGGAGAAGGAGAACCATCAAGCAATCTTTATTCACAACATTATTCCATATTTCAAAGCCTTTGTCATCATCAATCAATTACTCAGTCATTTGCCCAAGAGAGGTCTTAGGTGATAAAAAGAAAAAAATAATGGAAAAGTGTATCAAGCAGGCATGGATTTGAATTCTATCTTTAAACTTATTTTTTTAACCTTAAGTATTTCCGGAGCCTCAGTCTTCTTGTATAATAAGCAATTAATAAAGATTGTATTATATGGGTGTTATGTGGATTCAACTGAAGAAACATAAAGAATGTAGTATAGTACCTGATGCTCAGTGGGCACTCAGAAAAGGAGCAATATTTATTGTACAGTAAATGATATAATTACAGCATCCGTCACGGTAAGCCCGTGAACACTGGTTGCTGGGACATGGCGTGATAAAAGCCATGTTTTAGGAAGGTGACTCGGGTAACCAGGAGCAGAATGGCCAGATGAAATTATGACAGCATCCGTCACGGTGAGCCTGTGAACATTGGGTGCTGGGACATGGCATGATAAAAGCCATTTTTAGGAAGGTGACTCGGGTAACTAGGAGCAGAATGTCCAGGAGCCTGGTTAATAAGTTTTTCAATTAATTCTTTAACTTGTGAAGATAAAAGCCTCACATCTGATAGTAAAAGGAAAAGGAAAAATGGATGGAGAGATTTAAAAAGAAAATCGCACATCAGGCAGCTGGGCTGTAGTGAAAAAAACTGAACAATGAACATAAGCATTCAAAAAACCTGGATCAGAATTCCAAATCTAGATGAGTGACATTGAGAAACTATCTTCACATCTCTTAAATCTGTTTTCTCACTCATACCAGTGGTCTGTAAATGAATTTTGTAACACACACAAGAGGTATGCAAATGTAAGTTATAATTATAAGAGGAAGGCAGAGAAAGAAAGGCAAAGTTAGTGTATCTCAGACTGTGGAGAACAGGTAGTGAGTTTCAATGAGGAGATGTGGTCGACATAGTCAGATGGTACAAAAATCTCAGGGTGAAGGGGAACCTTTGAGAGTTCCCCACTCTTCACTATTGTAGCCCTTCCTTGAATGTTGGGTTATCATGTTGTATTCTGATATGGTTGGCCTGATGAGGCCAAGGATACAAGTACAAGTCTTTCAAAAAGAGGGGCTTAAATAGCTTCCCCACCTCAACCATCCATGGAAGGGTAGGATGCCAACTGGATGAAAAAGTCCCCCAGAAACAATGTAAGAAGAAATGCCAGACTCCAATTTCACTCTTGATGGGAGGGAAGATATCTTCACAAAAATTCCTAAGGGGCTGCCCTAAGCTTGAGTAAGGGCTGGGTAAGAACCTAGTGCCAGAGCAGAAGCTAAGTTTTGTAAGCCAGGTTGTCCAGAGTCATGGACCTCTGTGATTGAAACCTTCCTTTTATTATTCCCTAGAGTTTGGTAGAGTCATATCTGGTCATTTAAATGTGCCAGCCTGGCCATGGCCAGTATAGTTCAATGGTTAGAGTGTCAGCCTTTGCACCAAAGGGTCAGGGGTTGGATTCCCAGTCAAGGGCATAGGTTGCAGGTTCAATCCCCCACCCCAGTCAGGGTTGAGTGTAGGAGGCAACCAATCGATGTGTTTCTCTCACATCGATGTTTCTTTCTTTCTCTCTCTCTCTCTCTCTTTCTCTCCCTCTCTCTCTTTCTCTCACATCCCTTCCAATCAATAGAAAAGATATCCTTGGGTGAGTATTAACAAATATAAAAATAAAGTACAATAAAATAAAAGTGCTAGCCTGGCTCGGCTGGTGTGCTCAGTGGTTGAGCATCGACCTATGAACCAAGAGGTCAGGGCACATGCCTGGGTTTTGATTCTCACTCCACATTAATATGTCTATCTCTCCCTCCCTTCCTCTCTTAAATCAATTAAATTATTTTAAAAATAAATAAATGTTGCGGGAGGCTAATTCCAGCATGTCATAAATGCAAGAAGTTCATCAAAAGGTTGATGAACCTTGGGGCTTCAGCAGGGCTGAAAATCTTCATGTTATTACCTGCTGCTGAACAGCTGAGGGCAAGTCCCCCAACCTGATAATCTTTTACTGTTTAACAAACCTTACCTTTGATATGTATATCTGCTTTGCTATAGGGCAAAATGTGGGAATAAAAAGCCTTGGGTCCAGAGATGCAGAGAATTTAGTCACTAGCACTAAGCCTCCTCTGGCTCCCCCAAAATGCCTTCCAAATTCATATTTCTTCTCTAGCCTCTTCATTCATTTATGCACAGCCCCTTTTCAAGATTTCTGAACCCTTGCAGCTGCGGATAAGACCCTAGCAAAATGTGCCATCCTGTTCTGTGTGCAATATGCATGGGCATCACTACTTCAAGAGGGCAGAGGGTAGCAAGATCAGTAAGTGCTCCCCAACAAGGAAAAGGTGAATCTGGGAGGAATAAGGCTGAATCTCTGATGTCCAGCCACCCTGACCTATGTCCTTCCTGCACTAATCTCAAACCATTCATGCTTACTTTTATTAATGGGTTTCCTTACCCCAAAGAGACTGACAATAATTAGGAGCCAGATTATGACCAGAGAGGATGATAAATGTTCACATCCAAAAATCTTCCGAATCAATTTACGCTCAACTTTTCAGAAATTCAATGAACTGTATAAAAGTAAGATGCAGCTTCTCAGTCGTTCCGGTTGCTCTACAGTAATTTCCACCGAGAAATGCTGGTGGGCTCAGCCTGATTATGTGAATTATATGACTAAAGGCATGTTACACGACAAGCATGCACCTGCTGAGTCCATTTCCTGGTGTGGATGGGATGGGTCTCCCTGTAAAGACAAGATCTCCTGCCCTAGGACTGCCAGGGAAGGTCATTCATTGTTAGCAATTTCAAGGCAACTTGCTGCTGAGAAAGCTGTCTTCTGATAGGAAACCGAAACTGACTGGGACTTTTCACTCCCAAGAACTTTGACCATAAAACGTCATCAGCTGCAGGAATTATGAGGTGTCTGTGCTGAGGGGCCATAGGAGCAGCCTGGGGGTGGAGGTAGGGGGTCATGGGCTAGAACAGGTAAGGGAAGAAGCCTGGCAGGAGACTGAAATAGGTTCAATTTTGAGGGCTAGAACAGAATGATGTTATCATCACAGAATCATATTTTGCACTGGTTGTATTTCTATGCTGTGTGTATTTTCTATAATGGGCTCCGATTTTGTTCATCCAGGGACATCAACAACCTGCATTCTCAAACTTTAGTGCCTCAGAGTCACCGAGGGTGCTGGTTCAAAGTGCTGACGCCCTCACCCACCCACACTCAGGGTTCCTGACTCTCTAGGACAGAGCTGGGCTGTGTCTGTTTAACCTGCTGAGGGTTAATGTGATGCTAAAGAAGAAAGAAGTGTCGCTAAAGGCCAAACCGTGGTGATGCTAACAGTTGGAATCAAAGTGGTAATATACTTGAGGGAATAACTTACATCATATAGCTGCCCTTCTCTACATTCTTGGTGAAATTAATCCTTGGAAAACTGTGTACCTTGTTTCCATAAAGCTTTGAACGAAGCAGGTCTTTCATGTCCTGCCCCCTGCCCGCCTCACTTCTTTCACACAATCTGTGTTCCCCTTTCCTTTCTGGGTTTCATCTTTCCTTTCTGGATCCTGCTTAAAACTTTCCGATTGCTCTCATGGCCTTGTCATCCTCCTTGCCTCTCCTCTGGCCAAAATCCTTACCCCTTCTCAAATCCAGGGAAGGAAAGCAGGATTAGGGGTTGTCCAGATCCTCTCCTAGGAGATTCCAATGGAAAGCGTGTGTGCTCTGGGAGTGTCTGGTCACATGCCTCCCCGTAAAGGACCTGGTGGGTGGCTTAAGCAAGCAGATGTTTGGTATTTGTCCCCTCCCTCTTTTTTTCTTTTTTGTTTTGTTGTTCTTATTGTTGTTAATCCTCACCAGAGGATATTTTTTCCATTGATTTTTAGAGAGTACAAAGGAAGGAGAGAGGGAAGGCGAGAGAGAGAGAGAGAGAGAGAGAGAGAGAGAGAGAGAGAGAGAGACTTTGATGTAAGAAGACACATCAGCACGGAATTGAACCTGCAACCCTTCAGTGCAAAGGCCAATGCTCTAACCACTGAAACCAACAGCCAGGGCCTCCCCTTTTCTTCAACAGCAAAAGCAAGTGGGAGGAGAGAAATCAGCTGCTCAACTGCCTGTGAGGGGGGAACTTCTTCCTCAAAAGCTCAAAACTCTCAACCTCCTTCAACCCAGTCTGAGGACCAGCCTGAAACCCAGGGACAGGTACCAGCGAACGACCAACAAACACAGTGGTGATCAGGAGCAAGCTGTCATCTCCCTCCAATAACTCTCTCTATGTCACCCAGGCAATGTGATTTTAAGCAGGCCTCTGCCCCTGCCCAGGTGACCCCAGAACCACTGGGAAGCTCCACAATACATGGGGAAATCTCATGGCTCCTCCCATTGCTTAGCCCCTTTCCTTCCTCTCCCCTCCCCTAAATATTAACAGAAGAAGAGGGGCTCTCCCTCCCTCCCTCTCAAATGGAGCACCAGCCATTCCCAGAGAATCAGTTACCAAATCCCCAACAGCACACAAATATGTCTCTTCCAGCCCCACACTGACTGTCATTGTTAGGGATTCACTTGTCCTCACTCAGAATAACTGCATGAATCTCTTCAAAGGTCTGATTTTCATGGTCTCCCTGAACAGAAACCAATGTGTCCTATTTTCAACCAAATTTATCTCTCTAACGTATATTTAGACTTTTATCCCTGGAAACTTTCTCTTCCCTTAAAATCGTGTTCCCATAAACCTTGGGAGTCCTAGAACTGCTGCCTTAATAAGCAGAAGACCAAGAGCGCTAGAG